AAGTTTTGAATACTTTGTTCATCATGAGGCAAAACCGCACCGAAATGTGACTATGGAAAGTGTATGGATTGTCTAAAATTAGATTAAATCAGATTTTGGCTGTGGTGGAATATCACCTTTTGCTGCCAAAATAGCCTAACTGCTAGTGGTTATGTCCATTTCATCTCATGCTGTATTAAAGGCCCCGAAAACTATTTTTCAATCAGCTCCCTACTTGGAGCGATGGATCCAATGTGAACAAAAAAATTGGCGTATTTCTCATTTTTAGTACTGATGTATTCAGGTGCATTAATCAGGATTTAGTGACATTTGAATCAGAATCTGATGACAGTTGGAGGAATATTTGGCCTCTGTGAATCAAATCTGACCACACGCACACACACACACACAGGTAGACCGGAGTTTTTGTGTGTTGAACTCTTAATAAAAGTACCTAAAGATGTGTCTTTCAAGCTATGGTTGCTGCTTTCATCTTAAATATTATAATAATACAACTGCGGCCTTTGTGAAACCAGGACCGGCGATGTTCAGTGAAGCCAGGCAGCTCAAAGAGTGCCGAACTAAGCTGAACTCTCTTCATGATACAGGCTCCTGGTTAAAAGCACCTTTTCTCTTCATGTTATGGTAGTAAAAGCAGCTTCAAGGACACAGAGACTGTGTGGAGTGCTTACAAAGAGGATCCTTCCTTGCACTGTAATGTTCAGCATTTAGACATTAACTGCCTTTAAAAACAGCAGGTGTTTATATCTTGTATTTTGTTATAAAATCCCTTATTTTTCTTTGTATAAAAAGTGACCAAAGCCCTGGTGATGTAATTCAGTTTCTATATGTAGAGATGTTCAGGTATTCAGATGTATGTACAGCACATTTACAGCCACTCTTGCCTTCAACCGTACAGCAGCACTTTTATAAGTGGAACACATTTAATCATAATAGACAATCGTGTTTTTTCTTCACTCATATACACGTAATATTCGGCGCGAGAGAGAAACATAACTGATGAAAGTAAACATGAATGTGAGTTTTTTAACTTTAAATGTGTGTGAGAGGGAGTGGTGCGCGTGTGTGTGGAGGGTTTTGGTGTGTGGAGGGTGTTTAGGTAAATATGTTGGGTATTGTTACGTCCGTTGTTAAAGAATCGTATGTGAAACGGGGAAAAAGCTAGATGGGGAAGGACGTACGTTGATAAACTGCACCATTGGCGTGAAATGTTTGGTGTTCATTCACTGCTTCACGTCTCATCACACTCATTCACACATATATTACGTAACAGAAGACACACAGGTTAACACACACGAGCAAGGCAGTGGCCTGAAGACAGACGTACTTAACCAAAGACAAGCACTCTTGTATTAATAAGCTTTTTATCCAGCTATATTTTTGTACTTATTGCTTCTTGTATTTTTACTATGCATTTATTTAGTGTGTTGCCTTGTTTGGTAAAAACCAAGAAAAACACTACTTGTATTACAGCGATAATATATTGTGGTCTGTTTTCTTGTTGATCTCTATATTATGTAGTAATATATTTTCACATGCAGCTATAGGACAGTGTATGAGACATAAAAAAGGAAACTGTTTGTTTGAAAAGGATATTCTGCTATTTTGTATGCAAAAGATGAAGAATAGAATTAAAGTGAAATGATGTGGTACCTAAAGTGTGTTTGGGTCAGTGGTTATTTTGGTCAAAAGGCTGCAACCAATTCTGTTTTACTTTACTTGTTATAACAATACGTTTCACATTATGATTTGATACTTATATTGTTAGAATATTACAAGAAGTTCATATTATAACGTGTTAACTTAAAACCACATTTTACAACATTTAGTTATCACAATAAACTTTTCACTCTAACATGATACTGATCTGTTTTTCCTTTGGCAGCAACATGGGAACTGGAGGCAGGACAGATTAGCTCTAAATGGTGGGCGCAAAAAAGAATCTGAAACAAACAAGTGTTGTTCATTATTCATTTTATTTATTTACAACTCCCTTTAATATTGTTTTAGAACCAATCATGACAGCTTATACTGTATTTTTTTAAAAAACACTGGTAAAATCTTTCATAAATTTACAAACTGTCCCTTTATAAAAGTTAAATCAATATTGCTTTCAGTCACTTTGTTTCTAATGTGAAGTCAACCTTATGACAGACAAATCAATACGCAGCAGATACTGTAGCAGAAGTCATTTGAGAACACTTGATGATGTAAAGCTTCAATCAACCTCCATCCACCAGCAGACTCTGGGATAATGTACCTACTGCTGTGAAATGCTCCGCAGAGTGGTTTGCAGATTGATAAGCCACTGTGGTGATGACTAAGAACTTATTAACTAGGATCAGATAACAGTATTCCTCTCTATGGCACTATGGTCCTGTACCCTGAATCTAAAATCAGTGTGCTTAGACTGGCTGTGATGAGAGGTACCGAGAAATAACTTATCAATTCATCTAAAAACATCAGTGATATGATAAATGTGTAAATAGGGTTTGTTAACGTCAGAAACAGGTAAATAACACAGCAAAAGGTGCAAAAACAGTCATTCAATGATCCCTCCTGTGACTGCATTCAATCCAAAGTAGGAACAGCAGGCCAGCTCCTTCTACAGTGTTACAATACCGCGAGTCATTCGAGTTATGCTGAAGAATGCTCTCCTGACGTTACAGCAGCAGCAGACGCAGGCAGAGCTCTGCAGCGTTAATTAAAGCGATGGCAAAAATGCCCTCAGTGGCACTTTTCAGCTGGGAATGTTCCCCTGTCTGCCATTCGCCCTGCTTCCAAACACAGAGCACTCTTTGGCAATGACTCGTTCAATCTGTCACTCCGTTTTCACCACTGCAACATGTGACTGTGTCTGAAACAGCCAAACTGCCTTTTTAAACGTGTATAATAGAGAGTTCAGGCAACCAGAAGCAGCACTAATGCAAGTAAAAACCAACCTGTTGCCTCTGGGCTGTCCAATGAAAACCAATGTGCAGTTAAAAAAACAAACCATTCACTTGCCACAGTCTTGCAGGAAACAGCATCACCTACTAATGTTACCTATTCTGTGTGAGCCTAAAAGAAAGCACCGTTTGGTATTTTTTGCTGCTGCTGGTTTTGTCTGCAAAAACAGAGCAAAATCCATCCTGGAGCATCTCCCACCTCTTCCTCCCTCCTCTTCCTCCCTCCTCTTCCTCCCTCCTCTTCCTCCCTCTCCAGGAATCTCACGGCAGAGGGGGCCTGAGGGATGTGGCTGGTGAGCGGGTAGAGGAGAGGTGCCTGTGGTTCTCGACTGTCCGGTGGTACGTGGTGTTGGAACCGCAGTCTATGTAGCGATAGGCCTCCAGGCTGTTCTGGGATGTTCGCACCATGTACGAGGTTTTCACTGCGGTTCTGAAAACAGGCGGGAAGACACAGAAATGAGGAGCAAGCTGCTGCCCATCACAATGAAGTAAAGAGCAAATACATGCAGGCTTTCAGTAGGGCTGCACTATGGTGAAAACATCATATTGGGATTATTTTGACAGGCTGTGATTGCAATATGAGTGTGGGAATGATCACTTTTGATTCACAAATTTAATTTTTACTGAAAATATTATATTATATTAAAATTATGATGTGTCATTTTCTAAGGAGAACGGTCTACACCTGCTCTACTTTAAAAGTGTCCACAGATAACTTTTATTATGAATTGGCAAAACACAAACAGCAGAATTGAACTGAAGTGAGGTTTTTGGGGGTCTGCCCCAAACAAACATATTTTCTTAAATATGGAGATATTAATAAGATTTATAGAGCGGTGCACGTCTGCAGAACTACAGTACTTCATTATAATGCTGTTTTATCACACGGTTTACCTTTATCAAACATTGCATCTATTGCAGTTTGCATATTGAACTTGGCCATATTCAAGTTTGATCATATTTTAATGAAGTGCAAACAAGTAATGGTGCACACAGTCTTGAGAAGGAAGTGGCTTTTGTGGTAACACTGTCTTTCAGTGTTACCTAACATGACATAACTATATTACACAGCTGCCTCTCCCTGTACGCTGAAGGGACTTCTTCCACCCCTGTGACGGTGACAGTCAAAACCAAACAGAAATAACAAGAGAAGAAGAACAAAGTGGTCAAACTGAAGCATTTTCTCGAGGTGAAGAGACACTTACTGCATATATACGACAATGTTGTGGACCTTAATGCTGGGCATGGTGCAGAAGGCACTGAGACAGACACAAAAGAGAAGAGGTTAGTTTGCTCAGCTGGAATAGTGACAACGTCTTCAGCAGATAAATACAGTTCCAGTCAACAGGGATGCTGGGACACAAACATTAGTCCACCTAGTTTTCAATTTGGGTCCTTTTGTTGATCGGGCTCTCTCGAGTCCCCCTACCCAAAGGATCGGTGGAGTTCACTGCTCAAAGTAGACTGTTTGTTTGCACTGACAGGCTGGTAGGACACAGTTTAGGCACAGACACTTACTAGACGTAGGGCGCGCTGCTGCCGATCTCCACACTGACAGTGTAGTTGACCTGCAGAAGATTGATACACAACAACAAGTGTAAGTGT